TACTCCAAGTACCTCACCTGATTCTGGAAATACAACCTCTGATGGTGGTTCAACTTAGACAGAAGGATCATCTACTTCTGATGGAGAATCAACTACTGGCGATAATTCAGACCCAAACAGCACTAATGATGGTGAAAATACTAATACTGTAGGTGAAACCACTGACCCATCAGGTGATAATACCAACAATGATGGCGATAACACTGACCCAACTGGTGATAACAATGACCCTAATGGTGATAACAATGACCCTAATGGTGATAACACTGACCAAGATGGGGACGATGAAAATAATGGCACTGAAGATCCACCAGGTCCAATTGACCCAAATGATCCACTTGATCCAATTGACGGTCCTTTTGCCAACCAAAACATAACAGTTGATTTTGATGTTTCCAAGATTTTAGACTACTAAATCGATATCAATAAGTATATTTCAGACCCAGGCACATAGAGATATAGAAGATAATCTGAAGAAACAGGTAAGATTGTTCAAAGAGCATTCAAGAACATTGGAGCTAAACTTATTTTGAACTTTGGCAAGAAGGTATAACCAGTCTTTAAGAACCTTGTCGAGGCTTCAGGCAACTATAAGTTAACTGATAACACTAGCTATCAACAATGTGATCAAACTTGTGCTGCTAAATGCCTTGACTTAAATAAACTTTCAATGGGAGACCTTGAGGTATTCGATAGAAATTGTGTTAACTCTTGTGGTTGCTACCTTGAATATCAACTTCTCAACGAGGATGATTAAAGAAAACAAAGGCAAGTCTACAGAGATTTACAAACCAACTCAAAGAGATTAGAAAAATTCGTAGAGAGACTCGCTAAGGCCGAGAAAGATGCTAAATGGAGTGTAGAAGACTACGAATTCGAACTTGCTCTTCACAAGGATGAATTTGCCTAAGTTGTTAAGGATGTAACCAATGATTTAACTAACTGCGACCAAGAGTGTATTAACGATTGTGTTGATGGCTAATGGGTTAACTATTTTGAAATTCCTAAATGCATGAGTAGATGCTAATGCGGTCAGGACTTGTTCAAGGTTGGAAATGCTGATTTCAACTTCCCATCTTTGATTCAATATAGCGGCCGTGACAAGCAAGCCTGGTCTCTTTTCAGAATGACTCAGAACAAATATTGAGATGTCTAGCTTGAATTTATGTTTGATGATTAAGTTAATACAATTAAGAGCTAAATCAAGTTTCTATGATTGATCAGGCCTTAAATATTTTATTATTTGCGTCTTTATTATCAGTAGCAATATTTTGTAAACAATTTACTCTTCGCTACAAATGATTCAAATAATCAATCTGGGGTTTTGGGGTTTTGGGGTTTTGGGGTTTTGGGG